TCAGCTAAAGTGTACAGTTTTTGGATAGACTGTTTTTTCTTGTTGCCTGTTTGCATACCTTTTCCCTTTCTTGCATTTGTTCGGTATCTATATTGTGAGGCTCTTGAAAAATGAAGATTTTTTTTGTGTGTTTGCATAATATAAAGCACTTACCATCAATACCACATGAATAAATATTTAGTTCAATAAGTTATTGTGAACAAAAACATTCTTAGTAAAGAGATAAACTTATATCTGGAATACACTTTTTTTGTATCACAAATGGGATTTAGCATGATTAAATGAACAACTGAATAAAACTTCCCCTGCACAGTTGTTGGGAGAAATGTCAAAATCTGAGATGAGATTTGGGGAATGTCTTTTGCATGTAGAAAGCCATAAGAATAGACTTGCTCTACTACTTCATCCATTGAGCAAGAACACTGGAATGGTCCCTAATTTGCCTTAACGGAAAACAGTTATATTTACTTTGGCTCCTTCTCTACAGTGAGTAATAAAAAACCCACATTCAATACTAACAAAGATTCTTTGTTCCTCTTCACATTCTTCTGATCTCATACAAGAAGTTCTCAACTTACAACCGTTTGTTTAGCAACTGGCTTTACAATAGTCACACATGTTGGGTCAAGTGATATTCGCGACCTCCCCAGACGAAGTCAATGGGGAAGCCAGATTTGTTTAAGTGACTAAGATTCACTTAATAAGCACTTTTCTTAGCAACAGAAATTCTGGTCCCAGTTGCAGTTATAAGTCAAGGTCTACTTACACTCTCTTTTTTTATATATTTCTGACTCAATTGCAATGTTTCTGGGAATCACTGAGAAGGCACCCTTTACATTTGTAGTACTGAAGCTCTGCAGAACCTACCAAGATCATATACTAATGGGTGGTAGCTTTTTTACCTGCTCCAAAAATTATTGCTACTGTGTGAGAAGTGGATCAGAAAATAAAAATTGCATAAAGTTGTTCAGGAAACCTTTTACTTCTAATAAACCCTACATGAATTATATGGGTATACTTTAATTACCAAAAATGTAAAATAATTGTGATTGTGCTGAGTTAATTTTTGGTTCCTACAAACCATCAGCCTTGTAAATGTCAGTTTTTGAGAAGAAACTGAACAGGTATATAACTGGGATTAGTAGAACAAACAAAATAAATCTTCAGATTGAATTGTGAAGCTTTTAATCTTAAGGTTGCAAGATTTGCCCCAATGATCAGTTACTATATAGATCACCAAATAACCAAATTGTCAGGAAAAAAAGTTATAGACAATTAATGCCAGTCTTCTCTGAAATTTGATAATATTGCACTGATATATTATTAACTGCTTGGAATTTTGGACATTGTCCTGTAGTTGAAAGCTGAAATATAACTTTTCCCAAGTTGTGAAATGCAGGAAATTTCAGCTATATCAAACAGAACAAACAGGAGAAAATTGATGTTGTGTTGGGAAATTCTAAAGCATTTCACCATAGCATGGATCTTTTGATTAAGAACAATTTTCAAATTCACATATTGAGATATAAAACATAATTTACATTTGAACAATGTTAACTATGATAAAAATGTGGTTTTTTCTTTTACTGTTGTTTCAATAATCTATGAGCTGGCTAAAAGTTGTTGCCACCAAATCTGACAGGGTTTGTTTAAACAAGAATTGTGCAACCTTCCAGGCTGTTGAAACTAAACAAAAGCTTGCAAAGGGGGAAATACTGAAGATATTTAAAGGAGGTGTTCCTGGGTGAGTCCATTGGACTAAAACAACCTCGAACATGAAGCTGTCTGTGATAAGCCACTTGTTGGCTTATTACTTGTTCCAAGTCTCTGCAGTAACCAGAGAATACTACATTGGGATTAATGAAATTGATTGGAATTACGCTCCAGGAACAAAGAACATCCTAACTGGGAAGCCTTTTTCAGAAGATGAGTAAGTTTCAACTTGTTTAATTGGGCTCATATTAAGTTTTCACATTTTCACTATGAACTACTTTTTTCTAATCAGCAATGACTGGATGCAAAGAAGGGTAAATGCCTGACATTTATACTAGCCACGGAGAAGACATTTCAGCCTGAAAACAAGCTTGCAGAAAAAGTTTTGCCTGCCAAAATCTTACCACATATAACACTGCAGGAATCGGAGCCTTGCTTCTCTGCACCTGTATGTGATTATAATCTAACTTTTACTTTTGTTTGCATTGCATATGATGCAGATTTAGTTCTACCAAACAGAAGTTTTATGATTACAGGTTCATATGTTGGGGTTGGGAGAAAGAAGTGCTTTCTGCTAACTGGATCAAAACTTGAAACTAGATCATCCCAAATGCTTTGTACAGGTGTGGCATAAATACCTAAATATGTTTATCATAATCTATTTAAAGGTATTTTGTTTTACTGTTTAGGGAAAGAATCAGTCACTTTTTCAGGCATTGCAGTGCATTTAATTTGGGTGAACTTTCATGAGATATCACTTGAAAATATCAAAGAATCCTATCATTTTATCATCAATTAAATTCATTTTAGAAGTTCTGAAAGTGCTTTTTCTGCTCTAGATCTCATGGTGGTGGCACTACTGATCCTTGATTCTCAATCTTGAAAATGTTATGAAGTATTCCCCAGTCAACGTGGGAACTCTGGGTGTTGAAGTCTCCACATCTTAAAAGTTCCCAAAGTTGAGAAACACTTCTAAAATTGATGAAGCACAGAGGTTCTAGTGGTAGCAATGAAAAGCTGTAGTGAAACTATTCAATCTTGCATTTTTCAGTGTTCTTAAACAGAGAGACGCAGGTAAACAGGAGACATATGGATGGGGAACAGCTATAATAGCTGGAAATGCTATAAAATGCCTGGAATGAAGCAGAGCAATTGTAGAATATTGAATTCTAGTGAGAAGTTGATACAGAGTACAACTAAAAGCTCTACTGCTTGATANTGTATTGTGTGCATTTATTTACATTTGATTTCTGATCTCCAACTGACTTCAAAAGGAACAGCCAAAGCGCAAATGTGGTCCAGGGGCCATTAAAATGCCCAGGTCTGATGTACATAGTTCGTTCCATGTAATGATGGAATTTTTTCACTCCCTCTCACTCTGCTTCTTCTTCTTCTTTTAATGCAGCGTTTCATTTCTGTTGTGCTTTCCCTACTAGGGATTGCATTCTCTGGCTACAGTCTGATCATATCTGCTTTGAGCTTAGTGCAAGGCCCATACTGCAAAACCTCAGCTGGCTGGGAATATGCCTTCAAAAGCACGGCAGGCAGGTAAGAAACAGGCTTCTCTGTAAAGCTAATTTTAGATTTCATTGATGTCTTCTGCCAAATATGTAAATGAAAGGGCCAATTGATGTGGCCCTCTGATCTTACAAGGATTGGGTTGTGGCTGTTTCTCTTTTGTACGTTCACAATAGCTTCATTCAGACAAGTCCAGATTCTTTCGCCCTCCCTCTATTCATCTCTGGAAGTCTGATAGATCAGGGGTTCCCAATCCTCGGGCTGAGGCCCATTACCAGGCCTCAGCTTGTTCAGAAGCAGCGAGTGTGCATGTCTGCGCAACTCCACCTGTGCAAGCAGCAGGTGATCATGTGTGTGTGCGGAACTCCATTTATGTGAGTGGTGGGCGCGTGTGCCCACAGCTCACCCACATGCAGCAGCGTGTGTCTGCCACTCGCACATAACTATTCCCTCTTCCCCCTACCGCTGGTCCGCAAAGCTGGAAAGGTTGGGGATGGCTGTGATAGATGAATGGACGAAGAGTCCTTGGGCTGATAACTGTGTATGATAAGACAACCTGACAGGTCTTTTACAGTACCTACTGTATATTCATAGTAACTCCTATTTTCTTTATACTACTGTTTCTTCTAATAGTTACCTCATGGATCCTACTTCCTGGTCCAAATGCACTGAGCCTGCTTATGTAGTGGATTGGAACATCATTTTGTTGTCTATTCTGATAGTTCTCAGTGGCCTCCAAATCTTGATCTGCCTTCTGAAAATAATTGCAGAATTAAGGCAAATCCTGTGTGGAAATTATCCCATCTTTGTTCAGGTAAGAGAACAATCTCCATAAAGTTGTTTTTAAAATTACCATAATTGCTTATGTTATTTTTATTCTTCCAAGTTGACCAAGTATTCATATGCTTCTAAAACCACTGATTCAGTCAATGATCAAATGAGACTTTTGTATTGTGGTCCAAAGTGAACTCACAGGGAAATCTTTTGTGCCCAGTGGAATCAGTTGTCTTGATTGAAATAATTTGGATATAAATGCATTTATTTTATTATTTATGTTATTGGGTATAACATGCCCATCTCAACATCATGAATCTGGGTGGCTAGCAATGATTGAAGACACACAGTATCACAACAATCCTGCAATGAATTCAAATCAGTAACTGACATAACAAAAAAAAACCCCAAAACCCAGCTGTCAGTGCAATCATCTCACAAGCTCGGCAATATATCCTAGATAAACGTCCATTAAAATCTCATATCTTTCTGTTCTTTTTACAGCCTGCACTGATCTAACAACCTTGGGGAATGACTCCACCATGACTCCATCATATCTCTGAGCATGCATTTTGATATTAACTTTTAAAGCAGGTCTTCTGTTTCTGTGGGAACACAAGAAGAACTGCCAATGTTTCCCCAACATATTATTTATGTTGCTTCAGCTAAAGTGTACAGTTTTTGGATAGACTGTTTTTTCTTGTTGCCTGTTTGCATACCTTTTCCCTTTCTTGCATTTGTTCGGTATCTATATTGTGAGGCTCTTGAAAAATGAAGATTTTTTTGTGTGTTTGCATAATATAAAGCACTTACCATCAATACCACATGAATAAATATTTAGTTCAATAAGTTATTGTGAACAAAAACATTCTTAGTAAAGAGATAAACTTATATCTGGAATACACTTTTTTTGTATCACAAATGGGATTTAGCATGATTAAATGAACAACTGAATAAAACTTCCCCTGCACAGTTGTTGGGAGAAATGTCAAAATCTGAGATGAGATTTGGGGAATGTCTTTTGCATGTAGAAAGCCATAAGAATAGACTTGCTCTACTACTTCATCCATTGAGCAAGAACACTGGAATGGTCCCTAATTTGCCTTAACGGAAAACAGTTATATTTACTTTGGCTCCTTCTCTACAGTGAGTAATAAAAAACCCACATTCAATACTAACAAAGATTCTTTGTTCCTCTTCACATTCTTCTGATCTCATACAAGAAGTTCTCAACTTACAACCGTTTGTTTAGCAACTGGCTTTACAATAGTCACACATGTTGGGTCAAGTGATATTCGCGACCTCCCCAGACGAAGTCAATGGGGAAGCCAGATTTGTTTAAGTGACTAAGATTCACTTAATAAGCACTTTTCTTAGCAACAGAAATTCTGGTCCCAGTTGCAGTTATAAGTCAAGGTCTACTTACACGCTCTTTTTTTTTCAACAGCCATTTTATTTCTGACTCAATTGCAATGTTTCTGGGAATCACTGAGAAGGCACCCTTTACATTTGTAGTACTGAAGCTCTGCAGAACCTACCAAGATCATATACTAATGGGTGGTAGCTTTTTNTTACAAAAATGCAGCGGCTGTTTGAGTTGCCTGTTGATTCCCCTGGCACTGTGGAGTATTGTTATAAATATTCTCCTATATTTTCCTGATGGGAAATCTTCATATGCTTCCAGCAATAATCACACCAACTATGTGTGGCATTTTGAAGGAATCTGTTTCTCAGGTATTATGGTAAGTATGGCTTCTCCAATTAGCTATATACATCTTTTTATTTTCTCCGCAGGACTCTGATCTCATGGTAGATGAGGGGGGGGATCCTCCAGGAAAGAGGGTATAAAGGGAGAGAATCAAAATAACAACTGTATTTTGGAAGCAATATAACAGCCAATCACAACATGTCACTGTACTGTAATTGTGTATTTAAATATTGATAGAGGGATTTTTTACAATGTAATTTGATTTTTCCTCCCCCGCCCCTTTCAGAGGTAGTTTAAACATCATATAGGTCATTAAATATATTTGTAGGATTAATATAATAATGATTGAGGACATGGATTAAAACTAATTCTTACGTGTGTGTGTGTGTGTGTGTGTGTGTGTGTGTGTAAAACAAGTGAAATTTAGTTGGAATAAAATTGCACTAATATATATTTATTTATTCTTTTATTTCAAAAGTCTTCTATCTTAATTTCCTATTTTGAAGATATATTTCAAACAGTTTTGAGTTGTAGAATTAAAGTATATGTTTGTATTTCACATTCCTGATGTTCCAAAGCTATTGAACTCAATAAGATGACTGACCTTTGATTTTAAAAAAATACAAAAATTGGCTCTATGTTTAATTGTGGCAACCAATATTTGGCTTGTTTTAAAATTAATATACTAGATTTGCTGTATTTTTATCTCTTTAAGTCAATTGTGGGATCCTCAAGGCATATTGAATGTCTGCATTTGATATCTAAGAAATCAATTCCCAATGTTTAATTGTATGAATGCAGTTGTGAGCCTTAACAAGGAAAAAAAAAGATTGAAGTAGTGTTGGGGAAAAAAGTGAGCATTACGAATGAAAAGAGAACCTGGTTGGCCCTTTCATAAAATTCATATTTGAATGATTACACCATAAAGATGTTGCCTAAAACCCTAAGTATTACTTCATACAGTGCTGAGTTCCCATTCATATGGGACCCACAATTATTTTCCAAATGAAAATAAGTAGTGCACAGAAAAAAGAAATATTAATATTTCTTTAAAGTCACTAAAAAGTGATTCATCTGCGATTATTAGTGTTTCAAGGCATCGATTAACTTGTAGCCAGTACATAGTTAAGATTTAATGTTACATAGTCATTGGCTCCACTTTGATGCTTCTTTATCTGCTTTTGAGTGCCCATGAAGATCTTGCCTATGTGGTCTTCCCAATTTACCAAAAGGAACAGTGTAAGGGATTGCTTTATTTGCCTTTGGTCTATCTAAAGTGAATTACAAAATATATTTTTCTTAGGTGCAAGATGATCATTTGGGAAATGTCAGTTTCTTCAAATACAATGCCTTCTTTTGAACAAACCATCCTATTTTAACCTCTGATATGCCAGATAGCCAGACTCCCAGCATCCCAGCCAGAATGTGAAATGGGAGAGAGATTCTTTGGTTCTAAACTGATACTGATAAATTTAGGATTTTTTTTTCTTTAAATGTAATTCAAATGCAAAATATGTGCCAGTTTTGATGTCAGGAAGGGTGGTTATTCCTTTCCTTGGCAACCATGAATAGAACAAAGATAAAGGTTCCCCGCCACTAAAGAAAACAGGAAAAAATGCCCACTGGTACCAATTCTATTATATCTGCACCACCAATGCAATTTAGAATATTTCCTTTTCGGAATTATCCATTCTTTTGTGTTTCTGTCTTACTAGATTTGTAGCTGTCTTTCAAAAGCTAACATTATATGTTCTATATTTTAAACATTGAATACCGTACAGTAAGGGAAGTACAGCAAGTACCATATCCAAAGATGAAACTATTGGCAATGTTGAGCATAAGTTGAATGTTCATTCATAAGTTCTACCTCTATAATTATCCATGATTATGAGGAGCACACAGGCAACCCTAGGTTTTTCTTCTGTTTAAGCATTTCTGATATATCTTGGTTCTATACTTTCAGTCAAATATGCTAAGTAGCTACTCAAAATCATGTATTATTTAATTAGAATATAAATTTCTGAAGGAAGGATTTTGTAAGTTTAATGTTCTCATACTCAGTATGTTCTGTGCTACTTTCTTCTAGATTCTTATTCTAGCAGCACTTCTAGTAATTCTGGACCGGGATACCTTTTTTGAATGCTTCCAAAGTGAAAGCTGCACCAGAACATATAGAGTGAGTGTATGGTTTGCAAATGTAGTATTTTTGCTTTAAAAAGACCTTCCTTCCTCTTTTGACACTTCTGACCCTCTGCTGTTGTTTCCTTCCTTAGTCTGTGATGGAGATTAAAAAAAAGAGACAGAGACCCTTTGTTTGTTATCTCTACAGCAAATCTGCAAAGCTGAACAAACAAGAACAGGAAAAATAGCTGGTCCCCATTCTGAAATAGATGGACTAGTATCAACAGACATAACTTTAGAATTGTTGCCAACTGTTATTCCCTAAACTTCCGTCTCTCTGTTAAGAACTGTTCTGCAATCTCATGGTCTCCAAGTCTGTTGGAACAATTATATTAGTGAAGATGAACATAATGTGCACTACAGTATTGAGGGGAAAGCAATACAAAGATAATTGGCCTATCATCCTGCTTTAAATGAATAATTAATATTTTCCTTAATTACACATCTTGGCTCAGGCTTAGCAGTGCAAGTCCCTAAAACTATTGCCACAACAATCATACTGTCTTCCTCCCAATAAGCATGGCATAACAGTGCCCTTTCTGTCATCTTCAGTCACATGAAGAGCCTAACTCTATGAGATCATCATGGTCTTGGAGAATTTAAGGATCAGTTTGGTGTTTTATGAGATGTCACATTAAAAATAAGACCATCTTATTTATATGGAGTGATGCATTTGCTTGATGACATACACAGTAAGTGGGAAAAATAATACAGGTAGTCCTTGGGTTAGAGCAGTTCATTTAGTGACTCTTAAACTGGCACTGAAAAAAATGATATGATGATTTTCCACATTATGACTGCTGTAGCATCCCCTCAGTCATATGATTTACTTTTGGATATTGACAACTGATTCACATTTATGACAGTTGCAGTGTCCCACCATCATCTCATGTGATCACCTTTTGAATCCTTCTGACAAGCAAAGTCAATGGGGAAACCAGATTCACTTAACCATGTTACTAATTGAACAACTGCAGTGATTCACTTAAAAAGAAAATAAAAGTCGTAAAATGGGGCAAAACTCATGTAACAAATTTCTCACTTAGCAACATAAATTTTGAGTTCAATTGTGGTCATAAGTTGAAAACAACCTGTGTTTTGTAAATGTAAGTACATGAACAGTTAATTTTAAAAAAAAGAGAAGTGATGTCGTGCAGTGACTAATAACATATTCTGAGAGAGTCATTCAAATTTGCTACAAACTCATCTATGTGACTATGACTCATTTACGGCCATATCATTGGGCAACATTGGTGGCAACCAAATGCCATGATTTTGAATATAAAGAAGAGCAAAACTTGAATGGTTGTATTTTTGGTAGCAACAAGAAGAGCTGATAAGGAATTTTTTTGGCTCATAAACAAAATAATGTTTGCTAAATTT